TATTATTATTATTATTATTATTATTATTATCATTAAAAGACTTGACTTAGAGTAAGCCTCTTAGTTCTCCCACAAAAGTCACGAGCCAAATTTGCAATAAGAGTCAGTCGGTGTTCACCAGATGAAAAATAAATCATCACAGCAGCAATGTGCTCAGTCTGCCTCAGTGTCAGAGATAATCACAGAGATAATACTTGACACATAATGTACTCAAATAACGCACGACAATGTACAGCAGTTCTTTTGTATTTGCGAATTCCCATGCTCTTTAATATTCAGAGATGTGGAAACGACAAACACAAACACCTGGAATCTCACCAGGATTCAACCACCAACTTCCTCGTATCGGTTAACTCTATGTGGTTTGGGGTTGTTGTTTTTTAATCGCAGACAGCCGATGCGAGTGTTAATATAGGTGTAGTAAACGCTGAATCTTTAAAAGGTGGAGGTTACCGCAATCTGTGTGTTAGGTATAGGCATGTTGTGGAAACCCATATTCAAAACTTACCGAAAGATTTTGAAAACCACATTCATTTAATTATCTTTTTTTTTATTGTCTTTTTGTCAGGAACGCGAATCACCGACAAAGTTGCTCTCATTTCGAGTAGTGATGACATTGGGCTTCTTGTAGTGACATCGAACAAAATGGACGGCTTCACACCTCTTCCTGTGTCGTCGTGGGGTGTGTTCTACGTGGTGGTAACCCACTGCGTCTTCCGGGACGAGATTTGCCAGATCGTTGTGGTGGCATCTAAAGACGCGGATGTAAGTACTACAATAATTTCTTTTGTCAAAGAAATAGAAATACAAGAAGGATACAACAAGCTATCCTGTAAGATTGATATGATTTGCCATGTGGCGTGACTGCAGGTTCATGAGTAAAGCACGGACACTATTCACTGCCATTTAAACATTCAAACCAAAAGGAATTTATAATGTAGCCTATTCAAGACCAGAGGTATAGCGTGATGAATACCATGTATAAATCATCCTTCACATTTTGGGATTTTTAAATATTTTTTTCAGGTTTTTTTTTTT